TCAGCCTCCCGCGTTCCCCAGCACTTCCCAAGCCTGCTTGGTTTGTCCACTGCATCCTCCCATACTTGGAATTTATGTAAATATTTATTTTTGTGTGAATACCATGAAGTAACAAACCTTTGACAAAATATGTAACCGCAGCCATTTGTGAAAGTCTTAACGTTAAGGAAGGAGAGGCAGAGACAATCGCTGTCCCGGAATTCCCTCTCTCTCTGCGCTATCCCACCCGAGCCGGTGCCGCCCGCCCCGTCAGAGCCCTCGGGAACGTTCAGCCCTAGTTTGCCACCCAGCTCGCCCGGGGGCTTGCAGACAGATCTCCATCAGCCTCCCTTCGTTCCAGGTTTTATTTACACAAGCTCTAGCTGCCGTTCCCCGATCACCGTTGACCTCGGCTTAGCGGGCGGTGACGTTCGGCAGCGCGTGCCCTTCTCCAGCTGCCGTAGGAGCCGGGCGAGGCCCCTGGGTGCCCAGGGGGGCACCCGCCCACCCCGTCCTAGCGACTGATGTTCATAACTTGCAGCTGAATGGTACAGGCTCAGATGTCCAAAGCCCCGGTGACAGCCACATCTGTGACAAGTTATGACCCAAGTGGGACTGACTCCGGATTTCTGTCAGGGATCTTTTGCTTTTCTTTTTTTTTTTTTTTTTTTCCTTTTTTTCCTTTTTTTTTTCCCCCCCGGTGAGCCGCAGCTTTGCCCTTCCTTTGGAGCAAGCTCCGCAGACATCTCAGTGCTCTTCAGCTGATCCATGCTCGGTGGCGGCTCTTCCCTGCTCCAGGACTGTTTCACAGCCACATCCCTGCGCTCTCGCTGGGCAGGACGGGGTCAGGAATCGCTCGGCCGGGTCCGCAACGAGAAGGACCGAGCAGGAGCAGAATACACCGGCTCTCCCCATACGCTGAGAGGTGGAAGGAGAATGCTGGGTTAGCAAATGGTCTGGATGTCCTTGGTTCTGTTTAAGAAAAGCTAATCACTGGTCGAGAAAATAGATTTTTTTTTTTTTTTTTAAAAAAGGATTTATTTTATTTTATTTTATTTTAAACACAACCATCCTGCCCTGGATGTGCGGTTCCCATGGTGGTCTTGCTACATGGGAGAGCGTTCCCGGGATTGCGAGCAGACATAACTTGTACCTCCCCGATCCAAAGGGCCACGTCCTTCCCACGCGTGGCCGTCGGATTTAGTACCAGTTCATGGAAAAAAAAAAAAAAAATGCTGCTTTGAACTCAGAGGGTTAATATACTTTTGATTTGTAATTTTTTGTAAAACTTTTTACAAGGTAGCATAGTACTTCACCAGATACCGACTACAATCCGTCCATGGTCTGATTTTTATATAATTTAGTGGTGCTTTAGAAACTTTTGTTTGGTTGTTTCGGAGCTGTACGGCTCAGTTCTTCGCCTGTATCTACCTAAGACCAATGTGAACCTTTGTATTTTTGCTCCTAATTTTGGACTCAGTGAAAGTGTACTGTTTACATGTACAGAACTCCCGGCCCCTGTGTGTTCTGCAAGACCGGCTGTTGAAGAGGAAGATGCACCTCACCCAGTTCGCCTGCTTAACCAAGCCACAGCTTCACCCGCCCACTGACACACGCACCCACCCCGGGAAGACCCCGCCACACAGCGAAACACCCTCGAAGCAATTCTGGGGTTTGCACAAGCTATGGTATTTTATTTTGTTTTATTTTATTTTTTTGTTCTTTTTCCCAGTGGTCGATTTACGGATTGGCTGCGGTGCAAAGCGCGCGCTGATCCGGAGCTCGGTGACCCCAAGCACCGGAGCTCAAACC